TTGACAACTATAGGGTTGCCGAGTTAGACTAAAAATACAAGATGCTTGTGCTTAAAAAATTCATTAAAGGAGATTAAAACGAGCTACTTTTTCTAGCATATCTTTTTTTCTCCAGTTCACTATTATAACTGATTGGAAAGAATAATTTTGGTTTACTTTTCAGAAATTCTCCTCTAAATTAAAAGCCATACTAACCATCCATCGAAATGGTTCGTGTAGCTGTATTCTATTATTTTTTTTTAAATTTTATTTCTGACAATGTTGTTCTCTTTAATCCTGTATCTTATTTGTCTTTTACTTGCTTTCGTTATCAAGACCTTGCCTCTACTTAGTGGTCTCATATCAATTTGTTGTCAATTCGTTCTTCAAATTATTTCCTAATTATTATTATATGTTTAAACTTTATTACTTATTCCTGTCCAAGTCCCGCAGTGGACTGATCGTTAAGACACGGTTCTCATCAGATCACCGAAGTCAAGCATCACTGGCTGCGGTCAGTGTGCGGGTGGGTGACCCACGGGTCTGGGATTCTGTTTATACCGAGGGTGTGCGGTATTGGTCCTCGTTAAACTGTGCTACCGTAAAGTGCTCGACTTCGCGCGCAGGTCGTCGGGCTACCGAAGCGGGGGTGCCATCCCCTCCGCAGAGGATCAAAATTGTGATGGCATGTCTTCGGATCATCCTCAGGGATGTTTCCCAGACCGTCGCCAATAGCCCATTGTGCAGCTCTAGTGCGACGTAAATCAACAACAACAACAATTCCTGTCCAAACAATTAAAAATGGAATCAATTGGTTAACTGTAGCCGTAGACCAGTGATTCCCAAATGATATTTCGCGGAACCACAAGGGTTCTGCTGAAAAGTTATGGGGGCTCCCTGACTTCTTTAACAAATATTGATCTTTTTTTTGAAGCCTGTAATAGGCCTGAACAGTACCAATTATTTAATATTAAGGTTATTTTTATGAAACTATTCATGCAAAATTGTAATAAAATCTAAATAGGAAATTTTAAAAATATATATTTTTGCCAATAACAATGCATTGATCAAATTGTTAAAATTATTGTTACAAATTATTTGTAACAGAAATTTTTACAAATTATTGCATCAGTATTTCTCATCGAACTTTAAAATTCAAAATAAAATAACCAAATTTAAGAATAAAGAATTATATTTTCTGATAATCTTTCTCACAATTAATAACAATTCTTTTTCAAAAATTATTACTTTGTTTTATTCAATTTAAACTAAAAAATTGGCAAAAACTACTAGTAAGGATGCGTAGCGTTTTTAAAAAGTGTTGAAAGGTGCTTATTTTTGTTTTACGTTTTTTGAAATCCCTTAAAGGTGCTTTTTTTATTCGGAGTTTGTGAAAAGTGCTTAATTTTCGATCTTTTAAAAAGAAATTTTTTCTTTGTCGTGTCGATTGTCGTTCTAAAATTGCAAAAAAATGCATGATTTTCACAATTTTCTCTGTAATACTTATCAGAAACTTATTATTTTATCGTGATCATGTAAATTTGGAGAAAATGTTTTTGAATTTTATTGAATTTATGTTAATGAATAATGAACTTTAAACGATAGAAAGAAATAATTTTTATTACTACACAGATACTTATGATTTTTTTTCTGGAAAGTGATTAAAAATATTTTTAAGTGCCTTGAAAATACTTAAAAGGTGCTTTTTTTTAAAAAAAACCTGTCTAGGCACCCTTCTTGTCTTAACTTATACAACAAAAGACGTAGCCTCTGCAGCCTTGCGAACTCAATTGCTCAACAAAAAACCCAATTGCTAGATTCATTGATGAAACAATAAAAGAAATTTCCTTCACATTAAATGTTTCTGATTTAATTCAAAGTTACTGTTTCAGTTTGCTTACTTACACTTGCTGAGGAACGTTTTTTAAAAGTCAGAGTTCCACTAAAATAATTTTGATCGTTTAGGGCTCCGAGGCTTTTTTTTTCCTTTCCTCCAAGCCCTGACCATGTACCTAGGTTATGAAAAACCCTTAACCATATAGTCCAGGACTTGGCCACAAGGGCTCCGAGGCTGAAAAAAAAACTAGAAACCACATTGCCGTAAATCACACACTGTTTTTCAAAAGCACTCAGCACAAACTATTTCGTTTTGAACTTAAGCCAACTCATGAAATAAATACTGCGAAAGAAGCTCATCTCTTTAAAAACATATACATATTTAGAAACAAATTTATAAAAATATTTATAAATCTGAAAAACTATTTCAAAAATTCAAATATAGTCCGGGATTTCAATTATTTCGCTTCGACAAAGAGTTCAGAATTTGGTGAGCTCAAAAAACTGCGGGAACTAATAAAAATATGATACGGAGTACCTATAGCCAATGAGGCCATCTCCGTAAATTGTGATATGTTTATTGAATCATTGACTGTGACGTTACAATTAGTTGATTAGTTCATTTAGATTAGTTAAATTAACTTCTGTTCCTTACATAAATATTTATATTGCTAATTTTTATTGGTAGACAAAATTATCTTTCCTCTACAAACAAATCTTTAATATTGAAATACTTATACTAACACTTTTATCCTTTTTGATAACAAGATGACATCCTTTTTATAAATTTACTAGCTACAATGATCATGTTAATTCTGCATTAGCAACTCCTTCCATCTTCCTTTTTCGTAATTTTAGATATAATAGCAGATATAGTTCTTTCATCAGGAGTTGTTATTTGGAGCCACCTTCATCACGTGGTATCCGACGATACTATTTCGCTATTTTTGGGAGAAGAATGTGAAAAATCCTGAACAAAATTGCTATTTGACGATCGTCTGACAAAAATATTTATTTCGCAATCTTTATGTGCATTTTTTTTAATCATTAAATATTTCATAAATTTGATATTTATTCTCTCCTTTGAGTGAATAGGTTGTCCTTTTTGAGACATTTTGCACAGAAAACAGAAGTTTTTAAATTTAAAATATATTTAATTAGCTATAGTAACGATAGGTATAATAACAGATGATAAGGAGATGTAAGTGACTGAAAAAGAATTCACTGTTTGCGTTTGTCGCGCATTAAGGGTTGTCTCAGTTTCAAGCGCAGAGATGTTTCTCCTCTTACTCCAGCGTTCAAATGAACTCTTCTTCCAAGGTGGTGGAACAAAGTGCCAACTCCCGCTGAACGAACTATAAATTAATCTGAATACGAACTCGCATACGATCGACTATAATTGCAAAAAGTGGGGAAAATAGTGGTTAAAAAAGGTTGAAATTGTTAACTTTGTATAGCATATTTTATTGTTTAACATAAAGCAGAATGTTTTTATTGAATAGTTTGAAATGTAAGTCCAAGTGACGCAATTTAATAATTAAAGTTATTATAAATAAGCAAAAATGAATTGAGTGAAATGAATTCTGTGGCATAAGATGACTACAATTAGTAACAGTCACCATATAGACCGCTAGCCTAAAAGTTCTACCACAAATATAATAAGAAACATGATGGATGGGATAGTATCAAGTATGCGGAGAAATTAGCTTTCGTGGAGGATAGATTGGTAGAACTAACCCGCTTTTACGTTACATGGGGAGGTTAACCACGAAAACCTCCCATGGTTAACCTAACCAGAATATACCTCTAACCTGTGATCCGTCTACAACTGGGAATATTTTATGTCAGCACTGTGGTTGGAGCGTGCCGAAAGCGAAATTCGTATCGACCCACCATCGCTGGGATTCGAACCCGGGGCACCCCAATGGAAGGTGAGTGCTCTATCCCCTGAGTCACCAAAGGTGCTCCCGTTTCAATTTGAGCATTTCAGAAGAGGAATTCTGCTTAGTGATAAATTCCATGAGGCAATTTTATTTTTATTGTTGTTTATTTTTATTAAAAAGAGACCAGACTGGTCTGCTTTAAATTATTGCTATTGTTGTTACTGGGGATTAGTTGTTGTTGCTAATTCCCATCTGGTCTGACGGAGTCAGACCAGATCAATAAATCCGTTGACATTTAGGACGTCCGAAACTGAAAGGGGAGAGGAATGAATGTCGTTTCAGTCCAACCCTAAACAGTTCAACGTGTGCTCAGGTGATGCCTGGTTTTGTTGGCATTTAGGGCAAAAGAGGAAAGATCTTTTGATTAGCAGAAAATGTGAGACTTTTCAGGTGTCCACTGGCCAGTCCGGATAAGCAAGTGATGGTCTGCCTGTCACCAGGAGGAGTACTCTCCTTTTTCTATTGAAGAGTATATTTTCATAAAACCCAGAGCTAACTAGTACTTAAATGGCCGAATTTTCAATGGGCATATAAGTCAGATCGTAGAGTTTAAGAAACAACTGCAAGTATGCTTTGACATCAAGAGCAGAGATCCAGTTTAAGTTTGCGCTGCCTAACTAGCATGAGTTTGATCAAAATTTTAACTTCAGCATTCCTTTCTCACTCGCGCGAAAGCTAATTAATTTGCGTATAGTAACTGTACAGTTTGCAGCTTACTCTATTCAATGCATACCAAAATAGTATATTTAATAATACTTGTGCACCGACCCGTGGAACATTTTCGCTAAAGTCAAAAAAGAGTGCCAATCAATGCGACATTTTGCCAACGGTGAAAAATTATAATTCAAATTTGCTACTTTTTCATTGTTGGCAAAAAAAAGTCTCGTTGTTAGGCGTTATTTTTTGGTTTTGCCGAAAATAATTGTCAGGATTTTATACAAGTAGCTATTTAATACGTTGTTTTACACTGAATTACCAAATAAAATTGTTTCCCCTATCTCGGTAGAAAGTTCATAGCCTAATCCTCGGATATTTTTTTCTGTCTTTAATAACAGAAAATGTAAGGATTTAAAAATATGTAGGAAGTTGTTGTTTCACTTTCGTAAGATTTATTTCCTTAATTTATGGTCCTCAAGATTGAACATAATGCACGAGTGATTAGAAATTAATGGCCTTGTGAATCATCTACACTTTTTGAAACAATGCTTACTTTATCCAATTCGAAAAAGAAAAAAAAAATTAAAACATTTTAATGCATCGTTTTGAGCAACTTGAAAATCTCATTCGGTTGGTTTATCTTTAACCGCGCTTGTAACGTTAAAAATTAAAGAAATTTTAAATTTTCGGAAATCTCATTTTTCCAAATCAATTTTCTTTTTAAAATTAATCTAAATTTATTTAAAATGACTAGTAAAAAGGAAAACAAGGTCGATGAGATGTAAGTTTTCTCAATTTTTATCTATCATTATATACCGATCATTTTAAAATTTAGTGCCCAATTAGTAATCTCATGTTTTTGCTTTTTCCCCCTTCATATTTTGTGAAACGAGAACTGCACATTAGAGGTAGCACAACAAACTTTCATATGCAAACATTTTTTCTTTATATCGAGTTAACTACAGTTATTTAACTCACTTTTGAAATAGTTTGATGATGTTATTTGGAATGCAAGCTGTGCCATTAACGAGTGGTACATAACTGTTTTGTGATGAAATATTACGCTAAATTCAAATTTTAGCTATAGTTCATTTTTAAAGCAAGACTACGTAGAGCTAGATGCAAATTCTAAACCATTTTAAATTTGTTTCGGTAGATAAAAATATATTATTTAACTCATTGAGATAAAAAAAAAAGCTTTTCTATCATTTTCATATTTTCCATCGCAGCTTTCTTCACTTTGTAAGGCGATTTTTTCTCAATCCATCTCAAAATGAAGCCTCGTAATTATCAGAGACGGTAAAAAAATCTATCACCACAATACTTACATTATACAGGGTTATTCATAATTCCATCCGGAGTTTCGAAGCGTTATAGTAAAAAAAAGAAGATGAATATGAAAAAGAGAAACGTATGAAATTATTCTGAAACTATTCAAGTTTTACTTACATACATTACAGGTGTTCTATTTGTGAACCCTTGGTCACACGGCATACATCAAATGCGATAGTCCAGTTCCCGCCCGGAGGGAATTATGAATAACCATGTATATCTATTATCACAATAGAAATATAGCCCCTATTACCATAGTTAATAAAATATCATTGGGTGTTAGTTTTTTTTTTTCTTCTTACGGATCCTGAAATCGTTAATATGAAATCATCGTTTTTAATCGTAATCGTCTTTAAAAGTCGACAATCTTTTATCTTTCTTTTTCTGTATCCGATTTAAAAATACAATTTATAATCATTATTAAAAGTTAATTACCAGTGCTCGAAAATTGCATTGTACGACATTGTGTGACATGTCCGAGTCATGTAAAAATTAAAATCGGGTATGTGATTTGTACCCTTAAATACTCGGCCTGTCATCAAAATATTGAAGTCTTTAAGCATCTTTTACGGATGAATCTTCTCACGCATGAATTTTTCGTTCGAATTCTGAAAAATATTTAGATATGCCACAAGCCCATTTAGTATGTCAAGATCGTGGTGTCAAAATTTATTTGTGGAAATTTTTGTTCTGTATAGACAAAAACTGGTGTCCTTGTGTCCTAGTGAGATTTATGCTTTTGTGGTATATTTTGTCAATAAAATTTTTATCGAGGAAAATCTGAATGGAATATGAACTGAACCAAATTATAATACCCTGTAATAATACCGTCGCCGTTTGTAATAATAATAATAATACCGTCGCCGTTTGTTTCCAGCTGAATTCTTCCTTATTAATAATATCTAAAAAGTAAATAATAGGCTAGAGTCATAATAATAGAATTGAAATTTGTTAATACTACTACCTTAATCTTTTTGTAATAATAATAAATTTTTCTTCTTTTTATTTCAGGAGTGTCAGAGAAGATGGAAGTTCGTGAGTATTTTTCTTATAATTATCATTTTTTTCCAAATAATTTTAATATTATATTATTTTTTCTAATTACTATTAATCCTAATATCGTTGATGAAAGGAGCGTCACAAATTTAAAAATTGGCAAGTATGAGAAAGCAGTTATCAATAAATAAAGACTAAAACTAAAAATAAAAAAAAACATTTTCACATCTTTCTCTCTATTTATTATTAAAACGGAGTATTCAAAAGATTTCCGATTGAAGCACACTTTTAACAATGCCACTTGCCAATACAAGCAAGCCTGTTTGAAATCAAGCGAACATTAAAGGCTTCTTGTTTTTTTTCAATGGAGCCATCTATGACCAAGAATACGAATTCAGCCACACACACGTCACAGCCCGTTTTAAAGAGAAGACCCAAATTATTCCACGCATTCATCAACAGAACATAATTTTGAACGAAAACAAAAAACGATTAATCCTCAATTCAGTACCACCCAAAAGTATTGTTTTGTTATGGGAGCTTGGAGGACTTGGTGACTCCGACCAATTTAACCTGCACCAGTCACACGGAGATTCTTCGGCCGGCAGGATTCGAGCTCTCGTTCTCATGAACACGAGGACAACGTCCTACCAACCAAGCTACCCCGGTGACTAGCACACTCGTATTAGTGTCAATGTAGGGTGGTAGTAACGAACGAAACCCATTTATGTTTAAGAATAGACGATTTATTACCAAAAAATGAAGAGCTACCTTTTTTTTCTTTCTTTTTTTGCGTTTATGTTCTTTGAAAAGTTAAAAATTTAGTCTGAAATATCTTTTCACTGAGAGCTGTTCCTCTCTAAATATATTTATTGAAAAAAAATTGCATGATACTTTTCTGGTATGGGTTTCTAAACGTGATAAGAAAAAAAAGTCAAATAATTAAATACTAAGCTGTCAAGCAAAATTTCATAACATTTTTGTGGTTGATCACTGTTTTTCCTTCTCATTAATAAAGCATGTTCAATGATTACGTTATCTTGTGTAATATTTGAAAAAATTCTGGTTACAATATTAAACTTTCTTTTGGCCAAGACGATGAAAAAAAATCCATCCATTGACTGGAAATTTAAACAGAATATTGTATTTAGGGCATTGTAAATGATATGTTTTAATATGTTTTTAAGTATGAGACAAAAATGTGGAAAATTTTTAGAATCGTTTGGATAGGTTGAGAATGTTCTAGAAAAGGAATTTTATTAGAGTTTTAATATTATGTCAGATTTAATATCGTTAATTCCTCTTTATTTATGAATAACATGGAACATCAGGTGAATTCTTTTATGTATGCAGGTATTCTTACGAGGCTATGGAGAGTCTCACGAACTATCTCCTGGAGAGGACGAAGCATCGCCCTCTGGTGGGTGTCATTTGCGGATCAGGCATGGGTGGACTGGCCGATATGCTGGAAGACAGTGAATCCTTTCCTTACAATGAAATACCTGGTTTCCCCACAAGCACAGGTATTTGTCTCTCTCTTCAAAGAGTCTAAAGCTGCTTATGGAAAACAATTCATATTTCAAAGATAGGAGCTTTTGATACTTGCCTCGCTGACCAGATCGATACTTGTCAAAAAAATTTACCCCCCGCCCCGTCTTAAAATAGTTATTGTAACAATGGTCACCGACAGTGCTCTAGACAACTGGTGAAGAGATTTCTACAGCAGACAGACATTAAGAGAGCATTTTCGCTGGATACGATTCCCGCACGTCCGATTGCCGTCCAGAAGAAAGTGGAACCTATTTGGTGAGTTTTTCGCAAGATTATATATTTAACCAATCAGGTTCTTATTCTCCATCGACGTTAATCGGATGTGCGTGAATCGCACACAGTTAGAATGCCTCTTAAAACAACCACTTCTTCAATGCTAAGAATCCGGGTTTTTTAATACCAGAATGTGTACCAAATTTTAAATCCAGAATTATCATAAGATGCGTATATCAAGAATAACATAAGATGTGTGGTAAGTTTTTCAAAATTCAAAGTGGCGGGTTTATTTATTTACCATTATACATACATATACAGGCATGATCTTTTAAATTACGAGAACAGTTTTTCCATGTAAAATCTTGCAAAACATTTGTAGCTAAAAGACATATTGTTGGCGGGAAATTGGTATAGATATCAAGGTGGCCACGGACGACTAAAAGTGCAAAAAGTGGTGATTAATAAAATTCAAAATTTAGAAGAGATTTGTTGTTGTTGCTCATTTACGTCGCACTAGAGCTGCACAATGGGCTATTGGTGACGGTCTGGGAAACATCCCTGAGGATGATCCGAAGACATGCCATCACAATTTTGATCCTCTGCAGAGGGAATGGCAACCCCGCTTCGGCAGCCCGACGACCTACACACGAAGTCGAGCACTTTACGGTAGAACAGTTTAACGAGGACCAATACAGCACACCCTCGGTCCCTACGCAGGCTGATCCAAAGAAGAGATTTAAATTATCAACTTTGTTCATCAAATTTTATTTTTCTTTCAATTTACTTTTGAATACAAATGCATGAACTTGACTCGGAGTACCTGCCCGCGTCAGCAGGCACTACACTCCTTCATCTGAAGTTGCCTATAGGGCGACTGGGACTGATATGTTGATATCAAACGCTTAGGCTTGACTTGATCTATGTTTTTGGTGAAGTTCCTGTCCGACTCAGTGGGCAACACGCTTCTTCATCTGAAGTTTGCTCTAGGGCAACTGGGACTGTTGGCATAGGAGATAAATGGGGCAGTTGGCGGCGCAGAAGTATACTGTGGTGCACAGTTCACGTATTAATTTAAAAGTAAATGGACATAATAATCAGAGACAGAGATGCCAACTTGCTCCGGACAGCAAATATATATTTTAAAGTGGTAGTTTATCAATTGTGATTCTTGGTTTAATAAATTCAATTTAGTAGATTTTTATCCACCGCTATTTCTAAATAATTCGTAGGCTTACATAATTCACCACCTTATAGTACTTATGTCACGCTATACATCTTAAAAAGCAAGCAAAAATAGTCAATTATTTGCAAAATTTACTTTGTAGTTATTTACCGTTTTTTAAATTATTTTTGCCCGTCCGGAGCAGTTGGCATCTCTGAATAATAAGAAAAAATATATGAAACCTTAGTAATTATCTGATAATAATAAATAAATATCTTAGTAAAATAATTGTAAAACAAATTTCTTAGGAAGTTTTTGCATTATGAATAACTTGAAAGGTAAATCATAGTGGTAGTTACATTTTGATAGTTAAAGAAATAATAAACACTTTTTACATTTTTAGTCATCTGTAACATCCCTGAAGAATGTTTCCATTATTTTGATCAACCCCTGTATATGTTTATGTAAAAGAAAAGCAACGTATAAAAGCACAATTTATGTAAGGCTATCGAACGCTCTGTAACCTGTACGAATGCTACCGTAAACCTGTATGCATATTGTGATCTTCTTCTCGAACTTGTGCACTCTCTCTCTCTCTCTTTCTAAATTTAACAGAGGCTTATCGTACTTTGCAATGAGCACGCTCAAGCCTGCATAATTATGTTACTGTGAATGACCAAAATTATTGACAATCACATAGTCGCTTTGGTAAATATCCGAAATATATACTAGGCCTAGTTAAGAGCCATTGCCCGGTATGTCATACGTCAATGATTTTTAAAGGTCAAGTGCTCAGTATGCATTTAACCGATACTCCAAACACTGATGACGTTTCTTTTAATCCATCCTGAGTAGATATTAAAATATCCAATAAATTTAATAACATCAGGTAATAAGGTAATATCGAACGGAAATAACAAATATTTCGGACATTCACTGAAGCAACTATGTGATTGTTGACATTCACCGGTGAAAGTCGACATTCTCTTGATTTCGGTCATTCAGGACAACAATTGTATATAACAGGCGATCACTTTGATGTTGGACCAACTGCCATAATTAGTTTCTCTATTGAGGATTTTATTTGACAAAAAAGTCAACATATCTTAACTTTAACCAATTATACTGCCAATAGATTAAAAGGAAAATTTCTTACGAAATGGAGAATAACAAACGGAGAAAATATTTCACAACTTTTCTCATTTTGGAGTGACAGACGATTTTCGTTTTTAAATTCTGTTATATATTTTCAATATAACATTGTTCAAATTTTATATCTGTATAGCGGATAACATAGTTAAATTTACAATAAAAAAATTCTTTTTGCACTAATTTGATTTTGACTTTTAACAGTTTTTATATTTTCTTAAAAAGTACTCATTCGTACTATGCCTAAATTTTTGCTTTATTTCCTCATTTGATTTTCGGGTTATAACCTTTTTTAATTATTGAGTGCAAAAAAAATTCCTATAATGTATTTAAAATTTTGATTTTTCGAAATTTATTTGAACTTGTCGCTAAACGCTTAAAATCTTATTTAAAGCTCATGGTTCCCTAAAATTACATTAAATTTCGAATCATCCCGTTCTAGTTTAGAAATTTTGATTAATTAAAGAGAAACAAGTCAAATGTTAAACCCCCCGGAGAATTATTACATAAAGTAGATGAAAAATTAACAATCAAAGTAAGAAAAACAAAAGATTTAAATTTACGAGCTATGTTCTAAAAAAAAAAAAAAAAAAAAAAAAAAAAAAAAACAGTAGTTTGTAGCGTTTCCTGGCAACTACTTTAACTTTAGTTTAGTAAAGAAACAAAGTTCAAGCGCAAAAAAAAAAAACAAAAAAATGTTTCGCATCCGATTGGTGCAAATGCTTGACCCGTCAATGCACGCAATGAGAATGTCTCGGTGGCCGAGTGTGTGATGCTCGGAAAAATCGGTCTAATTGTTCCTGCGCAATCGAATTTTAAATATTTGCCTTTTTTAAAATTTAATTTCACAGGAACGTTTTTGTGTCTGATTTCGCAACTTAAAATATCGTCTGCATTAATTAATTAGAATATTTGAAATAATCCCCTCAAATCATTAAGATTGAGTCCTAAAACGTGAAGATCCGATCATTATTAGATCAAAAGTTATTAAGGGTAGTTCGTTTTTTGTTTTTCGCACTGTACTTTATTTCATGGAGCAGATAAAAAAGCATTTAAATCACACATATTTGATAATTTCCTAGCATTTCTTAAATGAAATATTCTTTGTCGAGAAAAGCATAGAGTTTGAAGGCTAAAAGAAAAAATTCGTAAGAAGTTCTTTAGAATAAGAAACTATTTCATTTAAACATGAATTAAAACTTCTTATTATCACCTCATATTTCACCAAGGCAATTTTTTTTATTCAAAATTATTATGAATATTGGTGAGTTCTCCAGTTGTTTGTCTTCTAATAGTAGTCGTTACATTTAAAATAAAGTCGATGCAGTTAACTCCATTTGTATAAAGTAGCTGTAGTTTAACTATAAGTAAACTATAGTCTTTCTGAACACTAAACTTGAGATAACAATCATGAAATATCATTTAATATAGTTGCTGGTCACAAGGGGAGATTAGTGTTTGGTAATTTAAAAGGAGTTCCCACTGTCTGCATGCAAGGAAGATTCCACGTTTACGAAGGATACTCTTTATGGAAGGTAAGATTCTTCATTAACTCTTCACGTATACTATATACTAAGTAATCCGTGAAAAAAAGGACATCAAAAGTTAAATAAATTTATTCACAAAAGAGATTAAATTTGTGTTCGACGAATAAAAAAATTGACAAATGCCAGAGTTTAAAAAAAATGAAAAGAGGATCTGCAACAGTTGCATTGAATTTATTTTCATTTTTTATCTGTTTATGTTTTTTTTTGCAAGGCTGCAAACCGTCTGCGCTTTTTGTAAAAATGTATTCCAGTGGTAGCTAATTTGATATTTCCGTGTGATATCGTTTATTCATCGAAATTTATTCTCCACACATATAAATGATTTAAAAGTTCAAGTGCAATGCTACTTTTTTCCTGCATCTTCGTGGTTTATGCCATCAGTCTCACTCACGTTAGGGCCAGTTAATGCTGGCAAGTTTTCCATAAATACGAAGTTCAGCTTCTTCGTGGCGAAACTTTTAAAATGCTAGAAAAATTAACAAAAAATTCTGATGGCTTTGATTCGTGAATGTCTACCATTTTGTGAAATGTTTTACAAAAGGCGTAGTATTTGTTGCCTGTTGTTACTTGCATTGGGAAATAAATTCAAAAGTAAAACTCTTTTAACGGTGAAAACTAATATTCCATTAACATAAAAGATCTTTATTGCTATTTTCGCTGTTCATTTTACTCAATATAGTACCTTGCGGTGAAATGAAATTTAATGTTCCGGGCAGTACTTTCAAAGTTGCTATGTGATAATAAAAGTTTCAGAGCCTTCGCTTTAATGTATCACATTTATATTTACAAAAATCAAAAATATTTTAACTTTAAGTGAAAAAATATCCGTATGTAATATATTAGCAAATCAGATGTACAGGTTTACCTTTAAAACGTACAGTGTTTCTACAAAATAAATTTTCCGAGATAGTAAACTGAAGCAGAAATCTTTAGAATTTCAATGAAATTATTCTAGAACTATTATCAGGATATAACTGGGGGCTCCAACAGGAAATTTCAAAGCAATTGGGACAACATTTTTATAAGACTATTAAGGATTTTAATGTTTTTACTTTAATTTTAAGGACAGGATTACGACAGGAGACTAAAAATGCAAAAAGTGGTGACTAATAAAATTCTAAATTTTATTACGAGAGGGTACAATAAGCGATATCTATTGCACATTTTTCAGTTTACAATTGAAAGTGAATGCAAAGAAACTGCGGAAACTTCTTTCGTCTTTTCTTATTCTTTTACTTTTTATTTATTTAACTATTTATATATTAGCTTTGCTACAAATAGAAAAAAAAATGTTTTCTAAAACTGCGGAAATTCCACTATCATTGACGTAAAAATGACCACTTATATACAGATGGAAAAAAAAATGAATGCATATCATGGTTGAGGTATATACCTACATATTAAGCACCTAGAAAGACGAACGTAATTAAAGGGGCTGTTCACGTACTTTTGGGAATTTCAGATTCCCACCTTCTCAACGAAAATAACCAAATATGTTCTTCTCGATCTACGTTTGTTGCATTGCAGAACTGTTAACTACAACGTTTTTTACAAAATATTTCATGGCGTTGGGAACAAAAACTAAACTTTCACGATATTGGATACTTTTTCTAACACTTTAAAAGCCTCACTGAAATATAATTGGTACAAAGTGGCGTTTTATCGGAGCTTTTGAATCATTTACATTAAGTTTCAAGGAAAACAACTTTAAACTAAATTTAAAAATAAAGAACCATACTTAAAAATACCAACTTAGCTATCACTCAAATAAATTTTCCCACAAAGAGGAGATATTTGGCAACCCAAAATAGAATATATCGTATCGATTAACCAGTACTGGAGCGGAGAAAAAAGCTCTCTTTCAAACTAGCACACTCCGAGAGTATACGTGTACTAAACAGTACGTATTGGTACAAATAGGAGATATATTACGAGAATACTAAATTGAGATTACGTGACTCTGTTCTTGGGCTGCTGGATCAAGAACATTAGATAAGCATGGGTTAATGAAAACTTAATTTGTTTTCAGTGTGCCATGCCGGTGCGTGTCATGAAGCTGATAGGAGTGAAGACACTGATTGTCACCAATGCAGCGGGTGGACTGAATCCTAACTTCAAGATAGGAGACATCATGCTCATCAAAGATCACATCAATTTCCCAGGATTCGCGGGGGACAATCCCCTTCGTGGAAGAAACGATGAAAGGTAACGCTCACTTACATAGTTTTTCTGTTGCTGAATAGCATTCAGATACATTTTTGCATCACAAAGAATACTATTAAAAAAGTTGTAACACATTGGACGCCACTAGTAGTGAAGATTTGCATAAAATTTCCTTTAAAGTTATTTCAGTTTCAGAGCTCATGCGTAAAAATTTCCCAGCAAATCGCTTTATCTCTATGAGTAGAAAACGAGACTAAACGAGACACTGCGGTAAACGTAATTCCAAAAAAATCTAACTTTCTTTAATATCATGCGAATTTTCTTATCAGGTCAAACCATATTTTCGTCGTTATTAATCTTACATAAACTAACAAAGTACTGTATTTTAAAGATATCAAAAGCCAGCTTATCATTTGCTTTTGTTATCGTTAAAAATATTGGATCGAACAAATTTACTGTCACTTTATTTTAGTGGCAATAAATAGTAGCGACATTGCAGTGTAACATTAAAGTGATGAATACATACAGCACTCGCGTTTTATTGTTATTATTATAGTGTGTAAAATATTTTGTAGGTGGGGTCCACGATTTCCAGCCATCAACAATGCCTATGATCTGAAACTTCGCAATTTAGCCAGAGGCATTGCAAACGAGTTGGGACTCGGCAATTTCATGAGAGAAGGGGTGTACGCTATGGTGGGTGGACCATCCTACGAGACCGTCTCCGAACTCAGGGCTCTTCGAACATTAGGAGCAGACGCTGTTGGTAAGTGGATCTCTGTCTTTATCTTAAAATTACATTCGATGGTGCGATTTCATTTGAAGATGTCGCTGCTGTAAATTGGAAGGATTGGATCTTAGTATTTCAGTATTAGCTTTTTCTGTTTTTTAAAACGGACAAACATGTCGGAAACATTTATGGGTACTGGACCGTTATCCCAACCCTTATCCTGGGAAATGATATGATACAGACGAATAATAGGGCTGCCAGCTTTCTTTAAAGGTTAAATTGCACATTTCAGTGTATCTCATAAAAAGAATAATTGCATAATATAAAATTACAGACATCAGAAAAGTAAAAATAATGACAAGACAGCCGGTATGACCAAGGTGACAAACACATTTAAAAAGAGATTTATTGGCCAAAGTACAGATGCGAAAGTAAGAGAACGAAATACAAGTTTAAATTGCCTCAAAATTTGTCTATTTGGCCTATTTGTTAAAATGTATATTTATCAAATATAAAAGGTTGGTTAAAAATAGGTTAAAGGTTAAAAGTAGAGGAATAGTCAAAAGCGACTGAAGTAAAGTCACAAATTAAAACCTTTAAGAGTCCGAAAGAAAAATGACAAAACAGTTAAAAGGGATGCATTAAAATACTTAAATACTAAAAACTACGCTTGTTATACAATTTAAAAAAAAAACTAGATGCAAGTTAAAATCACCTAAAAAGAGTTTTATTGGTCGAAATGTATAAATACAATTAAAAGAATAAATAAGTTTAAAAGTATACAGAAATTCAAAATCGACTCAAAAGAAACCACCTTTAGAATCCTGAAGTGGTCCAGAAGCTAATTAATAAGATAGTTTAAAATAGAGTTCATAAAACATATTAAGTTATTCATGTGTAAAACTGTGATAGTACAAAGTTCTCCATCAAAATTAAAAATCAGAAACAGTGCTGAAATAACCTAAAAAAGTTTTTAAATTGTCAGGAACGTGATAAAAGACGAAGAGAATTTAAAACTCAAGGTGTTTTAAAATCCAAACAAGAGTGAGGTGATTATTCAGTATTCTTTATCTTCTGGGGTAAGCACATATTCTAGAGGATTAGTTCTATAATTATTCTTCAGTCGAATAGTAATGTTGTGTATGAGTGAATTATTTTGTAAGTTCGATTTAAAGTTATTTTTACCGCTACATCTAAATCATTCAAAGGCTCATATGCAACCGAGACTTTGTTCCAGCTCTGACGTGGTAAAGTTTTTAAAAATTAAAATTTTTTAATAGCCTACCACTCTATAAATTATTTTGCAAAAATATTCGTAGTTAGAAACCTTAATCTCACTTTATAACCTTTGCTGGTAGTTCTGGTAATATACAAGAGACAATGAAAGATGTCTGACACGATTCTCTTTCTCAAAATAGAAAAAGTGGTTTCACTCATATTTCATTAATTCATTATAAGTATGTATTTTGCAAAAACAAGGTAGCTTTATCTACCATAATTTGTTAATGTTAAAAATATTTATAATCAGTCAAAAATTTAAAATCTCGCTCATCCAGGTTCTATTCCGAGCCTGCATCGCATCTTCCCTATGCATGTTCCCGTCATGGGATATTTAGGCCTCAGATGCCCAGTTCTACAACAACGAACGAAATCTCAATCGGTCATGACCAGTTCGTTTCATAAGCCGCTGCTAATAACCTCCTATGCTTAACGACAAAAGTCTGAGTTGCGCAAGGACAAAATAGGGAGATAAGACTTTCGCGAAGTCAGATGCACTTCGCGAAACCACATGTCAGTCCAGAATAAGTCCATCGAAGATTTCTTTAAAAAGCTCATGTGGTTAATAACGCAACGAAACTTCTATTTGGTATAAGCAAACATGAATTACCACTTTTTTCGTATTGATGTTTTTCATTCATTGACCACTATTTGGGGTCGGGTAGTAATGGATTAATATAATCACGTAAATTACTAGTTCAAAAATACCGTGGTTTACCCAATGACTAATGATACTTATATCTTAATTTTCTTCACTTCTTATTTCACAAAAAAATTTAAAAAGGGGTAAGGAAAGAGAATGAAAAAACAGTTTTTTTTCCACTCTTATGACTACCAAAATATATTTGTCAATTAAAAGAAATGTATTAAATATGAACTGCTTAAACGCTCATGTTCCATTTTTGGAACGCATCTCTTTTTTAATTTGTAAAAGACTAGTATCTCAAATCTTTCATTCTCAGTGCTTACTATTGAAGAAGTTGAATGTCAACCAGAATACAAACATGCCAACAGTTTAGTTTTCTGCTGAAGTTTCAATAAATTGGTAGCGAATTAAATGGCAAAAGTTGTAGAATACGGATAATTACTCTTACTTTTTAAAGGATCAACTACGAGTTTTGTGCAATAAAGCTGCATCTCATATGACAGTTAGAATTTTAATATGTAGTGGAGGAAAAAATTACTAAACATTACAAATACTAAACTAAAAATAACTTAAATTTTGTTACCACTAGCAAGTTGACATCCATTTATCGTGGACTTTTACCGTAGTAGTGGTAGTCATTGTGGTTAATGGAATACAACTGGTGTAGAAAAGCTGAATTTTTTCCGATATATACATATGCAACAAGGTATACGTAAAATATTTCTTGGTTGAATGTCCTCGCTTTGGTTTTGGTGTGGAAGTTTGGAGAGAGGAGTACCAACTCAGGCGCTTTCCGTGTCGTCTGACTGGGGTTAAAGTTTTGTTGGTTGCATTCATTTCATCACCCATCATTTGTATATTCTATATTTAAGTTTATGTTTGGTTTTTGTGATTTGATGGTTTATTTGAATTAGTATCCATAGTTTGAGGACCCCTGGTGTAGGTGATTTTTTGTACGAAATGCTGAAGGCAAAGCAACAGAAAGATTATTGTACGGTATATTTCTCATATTGTACCAGGTTTGAAATGATCGTGCTGCTGTTGGTATATTATCGCATATATCATTTACAGCTTTTAAAAGAGGATTTTTAGAAATGTCAGTATATAAGTAAAGATAACATTGGTTATCGTTAATAGTGTTTAGGTGGCTACTTTTAGGTACGTTAGTAAGTAGGCTAAGATAACCTTTGTAATGGTGTATAACTTCTACTGTTTAGGTGGTTACTTTTAGAATTGTTAGTAAGTAAGCGAAGATAGCAATGATTGCTAGAAATAGGTTTTAGGTGGCTACTTTTAGGTATGCTAATGAGTAGGATAAGATGACATTGGTAATGGTGATTAACTCTAGGTGGCTACTACTATGTATGTTAATATGTAGGAAAATGTACCATTGGTAATAGTGAATAACTTTTAGGTGGCTACTTTTAGGTTTGTTAGTAAGTAGGCAAAGATGACGAAGATTATCATAAATAGCTTTTAGGTGGCTATTTTTAGGTATGTTGTTATGTAGGTCAAGATGGTTGGTTGGTTGGTGTCGTGTCATGGACAGAAAATAAATTTAAATCTGATCAAAGGTCCTGTATACAACATCTGCTATTTGTAGGTCAAGATAACAATGGTTATTGTAAATAGCTTCAGGGCCACTTCTAGGTATTTTAATAAGTAGGCGAAGGTAACATTGGAAATTGTATATATTTCTTAGATAGCTATTTTTAGAGATGTCGCTAAGTAAGTTTAAATACCGTAGAAGTAATTTAATCAAAAATTATCTTCATTTGCAATGCTTGTTCCAGGGATGAGTACAGTTCACGAAGTGGTGACGGCCAGGCATTGTGGCTTAAGAATATTTGGTCTGTCGCTCATAACAAACGAAGCTGTCATGGAGTATGATTCGGAACTACAAGCCAATCACGAAGAAGTCCTGGAAACGAGCGAGAAGCGTAAAAAAGACCTCGAGAATCTGATGAGCGTTTTCATACCTCAAATAGATTGAGATTGAAAGATACAAAATAACAGCCGCGTGCGAACGAACAAAATATCAATCAAAAAAAACGACGGAGGATGCTTTTTGATTAAGAAATTGTTTTATTTTTAAAAGATAAATGTACATTAAAATGTTTAAAATCCTTATTTTTGCTGAAAATTAAATTTTTGTTGATCTAAGCAGGGATAGATCTAGGCTAAGAATTTAAAGTCATCACAAATTGGCATGTTCAAAGTGAGAGTAAAGTTTAATCCAGCGATTTAGAAGAATAAGCTAAGAAAGTCGAAGCAGAAAAAAGGGAGAATCGGAAGAAAAGTTAAATGGATGCATTATTTGGCGTATTGTAGAAAAGAATTAAATATCTAAAAAATATAACTATGTAAATATAACTAATATAACCAAATAATATAACTAAAAAATATAAAATGTTATCTAAAAAATATAACTTACCAAAATCAAAATTTTTGATGGTTTTCCATTGATGAACCAACATAATCTTAATGTTAACTATCAATAATTCCATCATGAACCATTGTATTTATGATGGTAAGCAACACAAATAACCATCATCCCAATGTAGGAATTCGGGCTGATTTATGATAGTCGAACATTAGAAAAGCAACTTGTTTTGATGGTTTGTTTATGTTGAACCCTCAGAAATTTCCCTCATAGTTTCTTAAAAATCAAATGTTGGAGCTATCATGAACCCCCAGCACCCCAATGTAGGAACTCAGACGGATTTATGATGGTCCAACATAGAAAAAAACCCAAATAGTTTTGATGGTATATCCTTGAAAACCAGCAGGAATTTCCATTAAACCATCATGAAAATGTATTGTTGGAACCATCATGGATTGTTGGTCCATGCGAGTCAATCTTTTCTTGATGGTTAACCATAATAGTATTAAAGTAGCATTCCCCGTCATGGAATGATGGAAGTTTGCTGACTTATCAAAAACCATGAACGCATAATGGAAAATTCCGGATAGTGACCATCAAATGATGTTGGACCATCATGAATAGCACTGAAACTAACATAAACCATCAAGAATTTTGACTTTCGTGTTTGCGCTAGTAACGTTTTCGATTCATATCTTTTGTACCCCTTCGATCACTATACGATTGTAG